AAAAAATATGAAAAGTCAAAAATATATATTTTTCAATAAGTTTGAATGAACTTCAACTATCACATAAAGCTTCAAACAATACGCCTACAACAAGACAATATACTTACTTTGAGGAAAAGATTGATATTACACTAATAAAGAGTTGTGCACATTACAATACATTATATATCTACTCGAAAAGTTCGAAAACACATGAATCACTTTGATTTAGTCTTCATTTAGTTTTGCCGATTCTGAAAGCTCTGCAAAAAGTAATGATTGAATTATCTATTTATTTAACGTAATTCATGAAATAATTAGTATTACCTTAATCCAATTTATTATATTCCTCCATATCTTACATATAGAATGTTTTTCATGCTTGGAGATTCTATAAGCCAATTTTGAATGCACGTCATATTCTCGAATTTGTTATGATGAATCAGTACTTTTCATAAATGGCGTTGTGTGCCGGGTTTTAGCCATAAAGAAGACTAATTCACATAGTATATTTTGCTTCGCTTGGGAGCAACAAATGACATTGGCAGAATTTACATTTGAAGGGTATGTAACAAAATGTGTTCAATTAATTTGTTACTACTGTTTGGTAGCAATTCGTCACTTCACTATTCCAACCGTCATTTTTTACTTCTTCGCTCACAGGTGGAACCCACATTTCTCTCTAACGATCAAAAAATCAATTATCATAATCACTACCGAACATGCCATAATTTTAAACTGTCATAAATTAGTAAAGTTATTTTATATCCATAAAAACATAATTTAAGCTAACAAGACAGAAGAAGAATGTCTTACCTATATCTCATATAACATTTATTATTTACAATTTTCTTATGAACTTATTTAAATTTTAAACACAAGGTGATATTGTACTCAAATTATCAACGGAAATTGAATAATTTTAAAACATAGTGAAATTGCAAATTTTTATCCTTATCTTTAGAACCTCTTTATTAAGAAGTCTTGAGTTCATCCTAGAAGGTCAACTTTATTGAAAAGAGTTTTCTAATTCTTTATACGTTGATTATATTTTTCACATTTAATCGGTGTGGGAATGAGCTTTATCATTAATTATTAAAACAGATAATGTTTTTGACTTATAAGTAGGAAAAAAAAAATCTCCTTGTGAGTGGCGTACATGGTTTCAATATTATATTCTCTTATATCTATTACAAGTGTTCAAGTTATATTATTGGGTTATCATGGAAGAAAATTTTCTTGGAAAACTATTTAATTAAAGAACCTCAATTGATCACCAAAAACCGAGCAACTTTCTTGGCATGGTCATATACTTTGCTCGATTTCTTAGTTATTAAAGGTAGATTCTTTAATTTTTGTTGGCAGGTAACAAAGTTTTCAAGGATACATGGACAATCCAAATCGAATTCTTGTTGATATGATGCGTTAAAGTATGTCACTATCGAGGTACTCAAATGTGTATTCAAAAATTTTACTCTCTGAGGTGTAACGCCTGTTGGAAAAATAATGAATTGAAGGGCCGACTTTGACATAAATTTTGAATGAGACTTATTTGTTTATTTTGGAATATCAAGATTGATTTGTGTTCTCTATGAGAACATCGAATTATATATTTATTTGTCAAAAATAATGCTCGAATTAATGAGAAATTGGAGTTCAAAATGAACAATTGGAAGATGGTTTATGATTGGAGGGAAAACTACATTTATGTTTCTCCCACATAGGAAGTTGATGAAAGCAAAGACCATTTTATATATAGTTACACTTTGGAATGATGTAATCATATGTAGCATAAAGTCTCTCTCCTCGTACACGTGCAGGGGGTACAAATCAAGAACGAAAATTGTATATTGAGTCTTGAACTGGTGTGCAAGCGAGACCTGCGTTAAACCGAACGAAGTAAGATTGACAACTTAGGAATTGTCCACGATTTGTTATTTTTTTGAAGTACTCAGATTCTACTGGTTATTTCGTTGTATATCGGGAAACAAACATTCAAACTGACCCTCAAACACTTATGGTGATAGAGCGAATCTATTTTTAAAAAACTGTGTACACACGGGCCTCGAGTTGCAAATTTACAATATTCTTAGCGAAAAATGTATCTCTGCAGTTTTATTCCCTGTTTATTTATTTTCTTGTTGTATTAAATAAAAATCATATAATTTCTATCATTTTATTATCGGAACAATGCCCTTGCTTAACATTCCAAGTGAGTAATTAGTTATAAGGTTAATCTATTTGTACACTATAATTTACATCATAGTGTACAACCCCCTCACATGTTGAGGGGGCTCACATGAATTATTTAATTGTGGTCCCCCTCATTCTGAGGGGCCTGTAATGGTGTATAGGAATTATTGTTGTACAGCAAACATCATCCTTAGTTATATCATGCAGTTTTATTTTATACTTTATATCAAAAATATTCCTAATGTAGAAAGCTGTATAATTAAATTGACATGTGACTTGAGTCCTCTTGAACGAACAATATTGGCATAAGTATTATAATTCTTAGGTTCTGAACACGTTTTGTCACTAAACTTGTTTGTGTGCCATTAATTAGTAACTTTGTTTTCTTACATATTGAGCACTTTATTATCCAAATCTAGCAATAAAAACTTACAATATGCACGTTGATGACTATTTTCTTATGTTTCCAGAAATTGGGATTAAATTTTAGTCAGTTTATCGAAGAAAACAAACGAATTTTTTGGATTTTATTGACTAAAATATGATTTTAACTAATTCTTTTTTTTGTGTAAATTGTAAAAACGGGTTTGATTTTAAATTATAAGTTTCTCCATGCTGGCAAATGGTTTGACGTTAACAACTGAATGTAAAACACATAAAATTTTGGTCGTCCTGATGTATGTACCTACGCTAGTTTTGACAGACGGATTTGACGATAGTGATTAATAGAATTAAAAATTGTAAGTTTAGTACTCAATAGGTAAATAAATGAAGTTTAATAACCAAAAAAGACACACATATAAATTAAGTGTCAAATAGATTTTTACCCTATTTATTGTCCATCCATTGTCATCATAATATCTATTGATTCATGAGCTTTTATAATTTTGCTTGTATATATAGACTCTGCAAAAACTTGGCTAGGCATTTGGAGCATGGATCTTTAGGACTTGTCTATTGTGGAAGAATGATGCCAATATGAAAAATTACAATGTTTTGTTGACCTTTGCTAAAAATATGGGGTATTGATCTAAACTATAATATAGCCCCTGTTTGTTTTCAATTTTCTGCCCAATTTAAATTCATTTCGAACCATTTCAAAATTGTTAGTCATGATTTTTGACTTTTTATCTTATAATGGATCCCATAAAATGGTCCAAAAATGCATTATTGACTTCAAATAATTGGAAACAAACAGAGGCATAGATTTACATACCAGAAATGGAAAAGCATAGTTATTAAACTTGATTGGCATGGCCACTCGGCTAGAAAAACTTTCGATATGGACACTTAACCAGGCCAATTGAACTAATTGGATCATGTTGCTCATGGCCTGATCAAAATTCGGGTAGCCTAGCATTTTTTGGAAAATCACTAGCCTAGCTAGTTGATCGGCTTTTAAGTGCTAGTTTGATAAAATTTTGCTAAAAAAAAATTATTAATTGATCAAACTTTATTTTAACTATACATTACACGGACTTTCAATTTTTATCAACTTTTGAACCGCACATATAATCAAATATGCTAAAACTTTTATTAAAAGCTTTCTCTCATTAAATAATCCAGTTAAAATTGAAAAACAAAAATTTTAGCCGTTTTAGTTAGAAGGAATTCAATACTTCAATACACAGAAGTTTTTGGTTGATAATTGATAAAATGTTTGTACTAAAACAACATAAAATTTAATAGAAATTCTGCATTATAAAAATTTAAAAATTAAAATGTTCAATATAGTAACAAATAGGTTTATAATATAAAATAGACATAAAAAGTTTAAATTTATCTCAAGAGAAAATTACGTACTTTGAAAATTCTCAAATAATTTTCCAAGCATTTGCTTCATAAATTTAAACTCTATATCCCTTGTTAATATTTGTAGTTTTACCGTTAAGCATGCATTTGTATTAATTTCTTGCTCAAGCATCTTAATTGAAATAGAAATATAAGTTTAAAAGTCAACAATTAATTGTAATATTACATTTCATGGGACCTACACATTTTATCAACTTTTAAATCATACATTTTGTCAAATTTAATAAAATCTACAAAAATAAAATAAAATAAATAAAAAAAATAGATTTTTAACAAAATCAAGTAGGGGCCAAGTGTAATTCTTAATCATGATTTTCAAATATTATGGTGGAGAAGGAAGGCCGGAATGCCAATGGACGTCTATTATTGAATTTACTTGATCCGATAGCAATAATTTTGGAAACGTCCAGTACCAAAGTTACTGAATGGTGTCATCAATCATTGGACTTTTCTTATAAGTTTCCAAAAAGTTTTCTTATATTTTCTTGATTTTATTAAAACTAGTCTATGTTACGTGCGATGCACGAGCTATGCATGAATTATGGTTTGGTTAGCGTATGTATTGAATATGTTTGAAAATATATCGGAAGACGGAATTATTGGCAATGATCTAACCAGCAAATAATTGAGATAATAATATACAAATAGATGTGTTTGATTGTGATTTGTAAATTTATCGTAGTTAATCATGTGTTTGTATTATAGTCAATAATAGATAAGAGGGAATAAAAATTAACTTTATTACCATCGTTAATTACAAAGTATAACCAAGATAAAATAAATAATGACTGATTTTCGAGATGGATGATGTAGGGATTACATATACATCATTTGTCATTACTTTTTTGTTTGACAGCTTTTGATCACGAAATTATACATACTTAACAAAATAGAATTCGAAGATCAAATTTACAATGAAGACAAATTTCACAAAACGAAATAGGAAAAAATTCACAAAACCAAACAATATACTTTTGTCAAAAGGTTGGTTTTACGGAAAAGATTTCGACTACCATTTATTCCATTTTTTCTTTGTGAGCAAATGGATTTGTGTCTAAACTTATGTTTTCATCACAAGCCACTTTTGAACTGGAACTATCATTGGAAGATTTGATAAGGGCTTTTTTCGCTGGAGGTGACCAATCTTCTTGATAGTCTGTACTAACATTTTTCCCAACTGCTGTAACCACAATCTGACTATCAACGTTTGTTTGAATTTTTGGTTCAAGACTTGTATGGTCAATATTTCCTTGGATTTCTTGTCCTGGACTTGGATGGTCTAAGCCTGTTACAGAGATGATATCAAATCTGTAACTTGATGAATTAGGTTCATTTTGCGATACTTTTAAGTAGAAAGCTCGTTCAGTATCCTGCATTTTTTTAATGGTTGCTTTGAAATTTGTCTTTGAACCCTATGTTAATTTTAAATTGTATTAATATTATTCTACTAAAATATGCACTGAATGGAAAAATGTTTGAGATAGGTTGGATTTCTTACAGATTTGGTTTCCTCCATCAAAGACTGTGAAGTTGTAAATAATAGTTTCTTAGCTGGTTCACCAATTGCATTTGCACTGATTGATCCCGTGACATCTGAAAGCTGCACATATGCTCTAGCCCTAAAGTGAAAAAGAAATTAGTATTAATAGATGCAAGAGTAATAAAGAGAAGTAGAAATGTCATGCATAAGTAAATATTTTACTTGCACCAAATAAAGTAAAAAATGAAAAGTGATTAATTATTAGTGTATTTTACTGAGGAACAGCTTTATAATTGGGATTTTTGCAAAAAATACAAAGATATGTTTATCCAAAATCAACATTCAACCGTCTAAAACAATTGTTGCAGGCCATGTACCAAGATTTGCTATTAATTTTCTCTGTCGTTGCTGTGCCGTTTATCCAATAAAACTTTCGTTGTTACCAGTATGGATATACTTAGAGAAATTACAAGGAAAAATAAATAATATAATTGAGTATATCTTGTAATATATATCTCTATATTAGAAAATAAATACAGATTGAATAGTACACGTAACCTTAATATTACCGTTAGAATGCGCCCTTGAAGATTTTGAATAGGAGTGAATTTACTTCGCACAGATAGAGAAAGATTTGTGGGGCTTTTGTCCATGTATGATTTTTTCAATACAAAATCATCTATTTTAATGGAATTTGTTCTTACCCTAATCAAAAGACATGAAGATAATTAGTAACTCCAATAGTAATATGTGGAAAAATAATCGAGAGGGAAAAAATAGAATAATAAAATATAGCACTTTGTACATACCATTCTGTCATTTGTTTTACTGCGTTGAAAGGTGTATTTATGAAGAAAGTGGAACGAAATTTCGTGGACAATTTTAAACCTATATAATATCAATATGGAGAATGTGTTATGGAGAATGTGTAAAGAATGTAACATATGCCTTAAGAGGAGTTTAAATAATACAATAGAACATACCAAAGAATGATGTAATCTTTAGACGGGTTGCAAAGATGACTAACTTTTTGTCAATAATGTCTGCTATCAGTAAGTATTCTCTGTCAACAAATGAATCCCAAAGTGTAAGCATCATTGTTTTGAAATTCATGTCTAGAAGTATGATATCTTCCAACCAAGTTTGGTTGCCATCTTTGGATTGAATCAATCGTTTGGGCGTCATATCAATTGCAATTGCAAGTATATCTGCAAATTTGAAATGAGCCATCAAATTTTCTTTTTTCTGAACATAAGCAGTACGAATTTGAAGGAAACTATATTTTTGTAGAATCAGTATATGATTATTTTAAATCTATGAAATTTTGTCTTGCTTAAATCAGCATTTGCATTCATGTATTGTTCGAGTTCATGAAACTGTGTCAGTTGATATATTGAGAATACAAACTCTAGATTATCTTCATTTAGTTCTTTAATATGAGTTTCTCCAGATATTGTCCATTGTAGAGAGCCAATGGAATATCTGTAGTTTATCGTATTGTTCTTAACATAAGCTTTCGAAATAGTATAAGTTTTTTCCAAAACAAGTTGATCCTCAAAAGCAGTGATATTGGAATCATATAAGCTAGCTTGAATAGTATTACCCTGAAAAATGATGAGAAACCATATAAATAACTGTAATATACATGATCTTAGATTAAAAAAAAACAAAAAACAAAAAGAAATGAAGAAAAAATGTATGAAGAAGAGTTACCTGAGTATCTATTAACATCAAATGCTTGTACCTTCCATTGCCTTGTCTGGAAGGCTTTGATGATTGTTTTTCAATTACAATAACTTTAGTTTTCCACTTTTAATTGTTGAAAATAATTTCTGGTAGAAGTTGGTACTGTTCTTTCATCGTAGCAATTTCGTAATAGAATAATAGAGGCAAAATACACACAAAAGGAAGATTTCTATCGCAAACGATTTTGAGATATCCAATTGACAAATAAAAGAAGATATATATAGACATGTAAAATTATATTATATTTGGTTTCCCGTACTTTATCTTCTATTCTTAATTTTTTTTATTTATAAAAAGTAATACAAGTATGTACTACGTAAAATCTTATTATTAGCCACATACTATCATAACTTGTTGTCTGCATGAGATATGAAGATTACTAGTAATATTCATTTATTGATAGTACAGAAATAGCGTGAGTTCAAGAATTTACACTTAGAGCAAAATATGTAAAACTATATTTTATTCGTTCTTCCTATTATAAATTTAATAAAAGGACGTCAAAATTTGAATTAAAAAAGGAAAAAAGATCAGGATTTACACGATAAAATCTTATCATATCCATACTTTATTGATTCATAATGACTGAACATAGGCATGGGCTGACAAAGGTTTAAACATGGTACAAGAATGACTCTAAATTAAATTAAGTTGTATTCACCGGGGAAAAAGTATTCATGCTACAAACCTTCATTGTAATGGAAGTAAAATTTGATTCAGTTATTTATTTAGTTTAAATAAATTGAATTGTAATAAATATCTAAATACACGTGAATATGTTGATGTATGATTTTGTGTATGAAATTGAAGAATTCAAACAAAGACGTAGATTTGAGATTGTATAAAACGTGTGAATAGTTCGTATTTCATAACACCACAAAAATACTTCATTGATTGTTGACCAAATGCATAAAACAACAATAATATACAGCTCACATGTGACAGCTTTTTATCTTGTGGTTGATATATAGCTCATTTATTATATTTTTAGTCCTAGAAATCTATATATTCAGCAAGAGAAACTCCCCGCAGATTTAAACAGGAGAAGCTCTGAAATTGGTCGAAAAAGGTAACAATTTTACTTAAAAATTTACAATCGAAGAAACTTGCATATATCTGCACAGATTTGTGTATGGGCAACAATTTTACCCATAAGAACTCCGTGATTATGGAGACCCAAGTCTCCATAATGGGTCTCCATAATCACGGAGGTTACAACAAGGCCTCCGTATGACGAAGGCCTACCTCCGTAATCTCGGAGGCCTTGTTGAGGCCTTCGTGTTACGGAGGCCAGGCTTGGCCTCCATAATCACGAAGGCCTTGCCTCCGTGATTATAGAGGTCAAGGCCTCCATGATTATGGAGGCCAAGTCTCTATAATCACGGAGTCGAGGCCTAATTTCATGTCACGAATTTTATATCATGAATTGTCTAGACACGAATATAAGATATTTTATTATCGATTTTAAAATATTTAGGCATGTATAGGTTATGAAGATACAATGTTTATTTGAAACTCTTAAAAAAAGTTTCTCTACTTTTAATTTTTAGATTCATTCATAAATACGATATGATTTTTGGAATAATTTATGCAGATGTCTTTACAATACATAATTTCTCCAGATCAATGGTTTTCTACTACAATTATCCAGTATCCAAATTTCGAATATCTTAGAGATTTTGTACAATTTATAGATTCGAATTAGCAATTTTCGTTGATGTGCAGTAATTTTTATGGATTTCTTTATGAAGCTTTCTACAAAGGAAAAAATGTACAATTTAGTAGTAGGTTGGTGCATGAATTTATATTAAGGCTTGTGAATTGTGGGAAAAATGATGAAATTTGGGTAAGGTTAGGCGATCGTGTAGCCAGATTTGGTATGCAAGAATTTTGTCTTATTACTGGATTACCCTGCCATTTACCATCCATGGACATTAATGATACAAATGATCGTCTTAGAAATCAATACTTTAATGGTACAAGTCGAATCAGTATGAGGATGCTTTGTGAAGCATTCCATGCGTGCGAACATGAAGAAGATAAATTGAAGCTTGGTTTAGTTATGTTGGTCGAATGTGTGTTGACACCCACTTCAAGACAAATTGATTATAGAACTCTTGGTATGGTTGAGCATCTGGATGAGTTCTTTGCATATCCATGGGGTCACAAAGCATATTTGATCTTGTTATATTCATTGAAAGCATCACAATCTGAAAGAATGCAAAGGATGTAACGGAATGAACAAACAGAATGCAAGTATGCGTTATATGGGTATCCACTTGCATTCTAGGTAATTAGTCTCTATTCTTGTATTGACTTATTATGTACAATTTATTCCCACAAAATTTTTTTATACATATAATATTTATTTTTAATTATCTTGCAGTATTGGATATATGAAGCATTTCCAAATATCGGAATGAAATTTGGACGTCGTAGACATAAAAAATCACAGAGTCCAAGAATATACAAGTGGAAACCCAACCAATTTGTAACTGAAAAAGAGATAAAGTTTTTTTTGTTTACTCGTAATGTATGTTTTTATGAATGTACAATTACTCTCACATTCAATTATCTTAAAATAAAATTAAACTCAAACTAAACGATTTTGGTATTTCAATTTGATTACAGATTCAAGTGATTGCCATGCTACAGCCTAATGAAGAAGAATTACAAAGTCTTTGGTACTGAACTCTTTCATTGCCAGTAGATAACGGACACAGTAGATTAGATGAGATTGTAAATGGAGTATTGGATAATGCAGTAGAACAAATCCTAGACAATATATATGTGCAAGAAACGACGATTCTCGGTACTTCTACATCTTCACTTGTATTTGGGTTTAGCTCTGTTCCCAATGGCTCCAACTCCTTAAGTGAAGATAAAATGGAAGAATTGTTGGGTATCTACAGGCAACACATAGCATCAGACGTGTCTGGTGTACATAGCAACTTGAAGGCAGAATTTGCTAAAGAATCAAGAGCTCACCACCATGTGGTTCTTGAAAATCAAAAACAATTATTTGATGAGCAAAAAAAATGGCAAGAAGATTACATGCAACATCATTATCAGATAATTCTTGACAACCAAAGGCAATTTTTCGAACAGCAACGGAAGTGGCAGGAAGATAGATACCAGGGTATGCAATCTTATATTGATACCAGTTTAAGTTCAATGAGATCCTATGTCGATGAACAAAATTAAGAAACACTGAACACATTATTTGAATGGAAATCAAACATGGAACCCATCATAGGTTCTATGTAACAAGATGTCCCTTTCAATACAAGTGTTGTTCCTTGCGATAAACTAAAGGAGATATCAACAGCTGAACAAATTGAGAGCTCTAAAAGGTCAATAAAAGAGAAGAAAAACAAGGGGAAACAAATACAATCTTCATCATTTTCAGATCATCCTCTGGAAGACTATCCTATGTGAAGATACATAAAAATTAGAAATTTTATAGCGGAGAATCAATCTGGGTAATGAATCTAATTTTACTTGTATTAGCTCAAATGTTCAAGTTCTCTTTTAATTTATTTGAAATTAATTAAAATTATGTCATACAGTGCATACTTGGACGATGGCAGTAACAATGTCTTTGGAAGAGACATGTTGAAAACTCTAATGGATCAAACACATGAGATAAATATTGCTGTAAGTAAAGTCTATAAATTGCAATAGATTTTATTTCATAGTCGATATATATAATCTAATGTATATCTATTTATTTCATCAGAACATTGAGCTAGAGTTAAAACTATTGAGGCGGCTCATGAATGATGGTTGTTCGCTTGTTTCAAAAGAATATGCAATTATAGATTTCAAATTTGAAGCAGAATGTGCTCGTCACATGATGTGGCATATTGACGCAGGAATGGGAACCACTAGAGGTGAACTGGATAGAACTCTTTTGCAAAGTTATGTGAATGGCAAAGCACCTATATTTGGTCGTCCTTAGATGAGATGCAAGTATATATTAATTTCGTGCTCATATCCAGGAAATAGCTGGTACCTTTTCCTCGTCAATATTCTTGAATGGAAATTCCAAATTTATGATTGCAGTAATAACGTCCACACATCAGATTAAGTGAAAGCACATGCAAAAGTTTCATTGACTATGATAGAAGCATTATTGAAAATGACTTTATCTTCTAAAGGAGATAAAAGGAAACATAGGAATAAACAAATGGAGCAGGAGATTATACCTTACCTAAACTGTGCGAACAATGGGTAAGCATTTAAGTTGCTTGTTTTTTAGCAGAATATTTAATTTCCTAAACTTAGTCATTTATTCTAACACTAAACTATTTCTTCCACAGGCCTAATTGTGGAATTTTTGTAATCAAATATATAGAATGCTTTGTTTTGGGATATCCAATTGAATTAGTTTCGTCGGATAGGATGAGCATATATAGACAAAAGATTGCGATAGATATCTGTAATAACGAATACTTTCTTCATCCCCGTAAGTTCTAATTATAGTATAAAACAAGAATATACTGATTGAAATATTATGTAATAAACTTGTGTTTTTTATCCTTTCTTTTGGTATCTTGTCACATCAGTTTATGTGTACATAAAATAAGACTACTTAAACCCAAATAAATAAAGATATGTTAAACATGAAATATTATGAAGGACATGTTTAAAGATAATGATCTGACCTTTTTATATGCACTATGTTGAAGAAAAAATCGTACTAACAAATAAAGTATAATTGAAACATATAATAACATGTAAGAATAACTAACCTTGTATAGCTCAATGTTATTCTCCTTGACACAAGGTGGATTAGCAGAGAAAATACCCTCTTTTAGGCTAACAATAGATTGACAGTCCAATTAAGCAAAACTTGTAATTATAGACTTCTTAAGTAGTATGTATCAAATTCAAAATTTCAAGGTAGACTACATTTTTTGTGCAACAATTGTGTGATTTTATTTCATCTATTGGCTTTATTAGAACTTTTATGTTTTCTCTTGTTCTTACTCTAGATAAAGATGTGAGAAAACAGGTTCAGACAAATATAGTCCAACGAAATCTAAAGTTTGACCTTGAGCTTTGTTAATGGTTATTGCAGAACAAGGGCGAATGAGAAATTGAGTTCTCTTAAATGGTACCGAATAATTATCTCCTTCAAGTAGAATAAATGGAATTCTAGGTAAAAATACTTGCTTTCCACGATATTCACCTATTCCAATTTCGGCTAAAATAACATTTCATTTAAATTCTCGACAAATAAGTCTAGTCCCATTACACAAACCTTCTGAAGGATTAATTTTTCTAAGCAACATAATAGGACAATTTCTTTTTAGTACAAGTTCATGTGGAGGGATACCATTTTGGAGTTAGACTATTTAAAAAGTCCTTATGAATAAATCCTTCCGTTTTATCAATTACTTCATCAAAACTAAAATACGTAAATATCTCTTTAGGAATTCCTTTAACAAACATATTATTTATTACATCTACTGGTTCATTTTTTGGAGTCAAAATAACTCTGTTCATCATAGCATTCAAATTGTCACCATATGTGTGAAAATTAGGAAACACAATAGCAATTAGTTTTTTCAATGATTCAAATTCACTCTCAAAATCTATTATTATACCTGAAAGAAGTTTAATCATGTGACATGTATGTTCTCTTTTTATTCCATTTCCAATTCTAAGTAAATATTCACAGAACAAAGGATCTAATTTAGCTCTCATATTCTCAGTCAATGGTCGTTGTGTAAAATATTGCCATAAATCTGAAAAAACTAAATTGGCCTTCATGATATCATCTTTTGTTCCTCTTTGTACTACTGACAACACTTGTCGAAAATCTCCTCCGAACACAACAACCTTTCTGCTAAATGGCAATTCACATTTAGTAATATCTTTTAACATTTTATCCAAAACATCAAAAACACATTTATTAATCATTGGTACTTCACCCCACACAGTTAGCTTTGTCATTTGTAAAAGTTGACCAAATGATGATTGTTTACTTATTGAACATCACATATCAGAACTTGCTTGAAGTGAGATTTTAAAATGTGAATGACTAGCTCGCCCAGCCAGCAATAAAGAAGCAGCCACTCCCGATGACGCTGTTGCTATTGTAATAAGTTGTCGAGATCGTACTGCAGCAAGTAATGCCTTCTACAGAAAAGTTTTTCCAGTACCTCCTGGACCATCAATAAAAAAATCCATTTTTATTATTTATAACACAGTCTAAAATAACATCATAGGCAAATTGTTGTTCCTTATTTAAATTCTCTGTAAAATGCATGTCATACTGAACATTAATATTTGTAGTCTCTTCTAAAATCATGTTTGCTAACACATCAACATCATTCACAATAATGTTAAAATCTACCAGACCAAAATCATTTATGTTTGTACCAAAAACTTCCAAGAATGAATTTATACATCTCAAAGCCCTAATCTCGGCATCACATACTATCATGCTTGCATGTAAAAAATCTTCTATCATATACACTTTAAGTTTAACTCATAAATTCCTAGGATTTGTAGGGCTACAAAAAATTAACACATTAGCAAAGAGACGACACAATGATATAGGCATTTCATAGGTGATCGCCTCATTTAAACATATTTCACAATAATTATTCCCACCTATTAGACCATGTAAAAATGCAGCTTCGCGATAAGTAGGCACAACAATGTTATTAACTGTTCTTAAATCTTGAAAAGACTTAGGCCCCTTAACATGATTCAATAAAACTCTTAGAAAGTATCTCTCACCCTTAAATGGATTAGCAGCAACTATTCTACCAATAACATTTTGCTTTTTTCTAGGACTCCAAACTTGAAAATATGTATTTCATACAAATTATGTAGGAAAATCCTTATAAAGTAAAGGTTGTGCCTTTTCATTTAAAATATTCATTCTAAAAAATTCAGTTAACATTGTTCGTTGGATGGAGTCTTTATTTATAACTTCTAATAAATCATCGGTTTCATTATATGTAACCAATTGAGCATCTTCAATATGTAACTGCAAAGAAACTGCAGAAGGAAATATGTCGAATAAATCAAAACTAAAAATTCTTCATATAGCTTCCGGTGCAGATATCCATCTAGCGGTTTGATAATTCGAAATCTCATCAACATAATGCTCATTAGTTTCTTTATTCACAGTAAAATTAACACGATTATATCCTTTGTATACATATTTGTATAAGTATTTGACTGCTTTAACAGAAGAACATATTTCAACATTAATGTGACAGTCATACTTAGCCAAAATATAAGGATTATATGGTACAACCCATCTATTGTCTAATACAGACCCTCTGACCCTGACAGTAACACCATCATCACGATGCCTATAAAGTAGATATGAATTACTACCTAATGAAGTATGCAAAATGTATTCTCTTGGATACTTGTTTTTACAAGTATGGTTATTTTTCATGCACACATTTGTAGAATTTAATTATCCACAATGACCATGCATCATATGTTTGACCATAGTAGCATGCAGGTGAGGATTTCTCTTTGGATCTGGCATTTCACAAGAAACAATTTCGTCAACTTGCGTAGAATTAGTAATCTTAAAATTCGTTTTAAATATCAGGAGAAAATGAACATGAGGTAGACCTCTTTTTTGGAATTCAATTACATACACAAGGCAGCTATAGGCCCTAGAATTTCTCTATTTATAAAATTTGTCTTTAGTTCTTCAAGTTTTGCTCGAAATATTCGGGCTAACAAATCTGGCCTATTTTGTATATTATCATTGTGCTTCAATTCTTTTTTAATTTCAGGCCAATTTGGATTACATGTCATTGTTAAAAATATATCAAATTTTCCATATCTTTGAACTAAACACATTGCATCCATATATCTTTTAGTTAAATTTCTAGGACCCCCAATAAACCCTGTAGGCAATACAATTGATTTGCCAATTTTATAGCCTCTGTTCTCACCATTTTGTATACTATCTAAAATTCCTTGGTAAAGTTCTCCTCGTATAGTCTTTTGATTATTACGAAAATAATATAATCTCGTAATTTCAATCTTAACATACATATCCACTATATATTGTTGTAGAAGTCTGCCTGTATGAAGGAGTACAGACTTATCTAAAAGTCTGATTTGAAGTTTGTAGCAATAATATTCACGGCACGACACAGTAATTCGTTTCTTACATCTCTTCATACCTGAAAGGAAAAAAAATTAAAGTCACAAAGACAGGTCTAGAAATGACAATACATTTATGCACTCTAAAAAGATTAAAAAACTTCAATGGTAATAAAACTTACCACGATCTTCCATCTCTATAAGTTGTTTGGTCGAATCAATGTGATTGATTTGTATGAAATCTTCATGGACTATTGAAGTATTCAAATTTACCTTTTTGATACTTTCATGCCATCCAGGTTTTCCATAGGTAAATATTAATGGATATTGAAGTGGATTATAACAGTCATAGTAGTAATTTACTCTATGTGCAGTATTGGAATGTCCATAAATTAATATATCACGAGTTTTTATGCTTGCAGATGGATCTTCATCAACCCACACTGCAGCTACCTGTTCACATGATGACATGTTATATACTCTTTGGTCGAGACCCGGACCAGACCTCAGCACGATACAGCATGAATCAAAATCAGAAACTTCACTTAATGATCGAAAGAAACGACAATATGGATTTATCTTTAAGATATCTATTAACTTTTTCAAAATTGATTCACTTAACCTATCTGAATTTGTAGTCTATTACTAATTTCATTATCAGTATCGTAAAAGTATAACTGCAAATACGTAGGATTTCCATCAATTGGTAGAAGTGGATTTATAAAATGGTATACTTGTCCCTGAACTTTGAACGTATATACACCTCTATTATTCTTGCACAAATTTTTATCATATTTAACACCAAATGAAGTGAATGCAAAATGGTTGTTGTAAGTACAAGCAACTTTTTTAAAAACAATCGCTTCACATGAAGTTGAAATAAATAGCTTATACAATTCAGGGGGAACACTGTTCAGCTGTAATTTAACTTTTCCATCATAACAACAAAAACCTTTACTTTTTTTGTAAAACTTTTTTGCACCACAATACTTACAAATTGTACAAGACGGAAGAATATAAGGTTCAACTGAAATATTTCGTATATCAATTCTCTTAGAACGATCTAAAATGATAGGAACATGTGAACCACATTGAGATTGCATATTGTCATTTTCAGATTGTTTTTCCACGCCAATGCTTTCATCAACATGAAGATCCTTATGTAATTCAACACACTGATCAATAGAATCTACAATCATAAAATTAGTATAAGATCGCTGAAAGACAACAGAAGTACAAAAATTGGATTAAAACATAATTTCACAAAAACAAGATGAAAGGAAGTGTACTACAACATGACCAAATAAATAGCCGGATGCAAAAAAAAAATTTATAAAAAAAAAAATTCAATCTACGAAACCTGCTGTGAATTTAGGACAACATCTCATCCTTCTTCCTGGCATATGTGTAGAACTTGTAAATACTTCTATAATACCAAATACTTATGTTAAAATTACGTAAAAAAGAAAGTAAAAAACATTAAACCAACAAGAAATCACATTTAAACAACAAATCATACCTATATGTCTCTTACGCAATTTGTCTTTTTGTACTCTTGGCTGAATTACAAGTTTAGAATCACGTACTTGTGTGGATAAGTCCAGCCTTCTTAAACGAACACGTCTACTCTTAAACCAATTATAAACATTCATATCAGAGATTTGCCTATGCAACGATAGTTCGGAGACTATCTGCATGATCCTTGACTTGTTTGGGATTTTATTCTCTTGATTAAATATAAATTCAAGAACTTGAAGTTGTACAGATGTAGGCGTCCAATATTACTTATCCATTGTATTGCTGTAAGAAAAAACCACAAAAAATTAACTCAATAAAATTGAAAACATAACTAAGATTATGCACATTGAAAACAATATCCTCAGGCAAAAGAAGTCAAAAAAATGCATACACTTCCATGATCCGAACAATAGGAAATATATCGAAAAAAATAAAAATAAAAATAAAATCCACCAACAACAACAGGTCTATCGCTGAACAAAATATACACGCAATTGAAGACAGGGAGAAAATAGAAGGATGGAAGGGATGAGAAAGAGACGATGAAAATAAGGACAATGATTAAAATAAGGACAAAGACAAGGTGTTTGCACGAATGGAAGGAAAACAACGACGTTTTCCCATTCAAAAGGTAAAATAAAAATGACATAGACAGATAAATGAATAAATTATACTCACCTAAGTACTATAGTTCGAGAAAAAAAAAAGAACTAAATATACTTATTCATTTTTCTATTTCTATATTATATATTATAAATTTGTATCATCACATAAATAAAAATTGCAAAATTTTAAAAATAACGTTAAGAAAGTCCGACTATTGGTTAAATTTTATACAACATAAGAAACTCATGTTTAAACTAAAATATAACTTCATATAAAATTATGTTCGACAAAACAAAAACAAAAATATTGAAATGTTTGTTGTAATAAGAGCTAAGAGAAAAAGAGGGGAAAAAAATAATGCCTCCATAATTGTGAGCCTCCGTAGTAATTACGGAAGCTAACAAATTTCATTTTTTTCCCTTTCTTCTTCCTTTACCGATTCTCAGCACCAAAATTTAACTTCATTTAATCAACTTAATTTTTTTAATAAATGTGATTCCTAAAATAAATACATAAAATATAAATCAATTTTTTTATATATACAAAGATTATATAAATCATTCAAATGAGTAGAAATGTAGATAAATAATAGACATATTAATCACATTTCCAATCATAACCTTTTGAGTGCAATCAAATAATGTGTAAAACGTGTTAAGATCAAATAGTCTCTCACGTGATATGTCAATAATTTTTTTCCTCCTCACTTTTGTTTTTGGGAAGGATAAGATCAGGCTTTTTCG